TTTTTTTTTTTTTTCAAAAGAGACACACTGGTTGATGTTGTGTGTATAGAGACTAATCTCTGTTATAAATCATAGGATTACATTCTTTCATGGCTTTCATTTTCCAGTTTGATAAGATTATTTTCTTTTGAATTGTTTCTTTTGTTAGTACTAGTAGGGTGTGGCAAATGAATTTTCCCCAGTTAAGATAAGGGGAGATTATACTGTCCCGTTACGGAAATATTTCGTTCGTTCGGGTTTGTAACCGTTAGATCAATTATTAATGACGGTTACGTGATGATTTAACAGTTACAGATTCCTACGGAACTACATGATGATCTAACAGTTATAAATTCCTATTTTGGGTAGCATTGTCCTAAGAAAAGAGGAGCAGATTTGTCAATTATGGCTTTGTTGAATTATATAGTAGTTATTTAAATATTTGTTTTGTTTTGTTTTGTTTTGTTTTGTATGGACAGTTTTTTCTATATTTTGTTAATTAGGTGTGTCTCTCTCTAACTTTTTTTTTTTTGTTGAAAAAGAAAAACAAAAAGGAAAAAGCTTGTGACAAGAGTTAAAATAGGTTTTCCTCATAATCCAAATACTTGACTAATGAAGTCTACTTGAATCCTTACATTGGAAATCCCGCATGAAATGTGTATACATCTTTGCAATGTAGGGTCGATTTGAGAAACTCATATTCATAAAAGACTAAAAAAGACGATTTGAGAAAGCATCAATTTTATCAATAATATCATGAGGAATGGAATATGCAAATGAGGCTAGTATTAATATTAATCATGATTCATGATGAGAGTGTATAGTAGGCATGATTAAATGGGGCCACTAAATCTGCAAAAATATCCCTATTCATAATAATCATGTGAGCTAGATTATTTTACCGCGAATCGAATCAAATCGAACTTAGCCGATGAAAAAAAAAAAACCGACTCATTTAAAATCGATTATCGATGTGTTATTGGTCCGGTATCGGTTCCGCAACCATATAGTTTGGTTTTTCCTGAACATCGATAAGGAATTAAAAGTAAGTTCTTAATGTTAATAGTTAGTAATTTAGTACTACTAATCCAACTAATAATTAATACAAATTCTTATTATAACCATCGAATTGTAAATGTATTTTAAAAGTTGATAACTTTTGTATTTTTTTATCAATTTTACATATATAATATATCAAATTAATCATTTCTTGATGAACTTAGTTTTAACATCCATATTGTATGTAGTAAAAAAAATTATATTTATCCTTATAACAATAATAAAATTATTTTTTAATATTAATTAGAAAAAAATTATTTATTAATTAATATATTTATATTTCAAGTAGTTATATGGTACAAGTTATATAATGACTATAACATAATACATGTAAGTCGCATAATTAACAAATGTCATTCTAAACTATATAATTTTTTGTAAAAAAGTAAAAAAAAATTAGTAATAATTTTTTTATTAATTTTAAAATTTGAGAATAATTTTTTACCAAGCACCGTGTAACGGGTGTTGTACTAGTGTATTTTATTTATTTAAATTTTTTCTCTAAAAAGTCAAAAAATTCTACTTTGTTCCACGTTGTGGAACGGCTTGGACAGTCCATGACTCCATGGACCACAATCCTCTCGTTGCCCACCAGATCAAAGCTCCTCACCTTCACATAATTGATCCTCGTCGGCGCCAGGCGGCCCTCCGTCGCCGGCGCTGGTCACCACAAGGTTCCGGCCACGCTCCATTGTCAGAATCGCTGTTCCTACCGGCTGCTCGATTAGCTCCGCTTTCAGGAGCCTGTTAGGCACTATGTGGAACCCTAGCCCCGCCAGGTACCCGCGGCCCCCTCCTCCTCCAGCGCCGCCTTCGGTGAAGATGGAGTCGTCGTCGACGACGAACAGTGTCATGGATCTGAGATCCGAGAGCTCCGAGTACCTGACCCGCATCGACAGGGCTGCCACGCTGTACCCGCCCACGAGCAGCCTGGCCATCGCGTCCTTCAGCATCAGGCCGCTCCGGTAAAGACAGCGTGGCCATCGTCTCGAAGGCGCATGACAGCGGAGGCGGCAGAAACCGCCATGTCCCGGAACCCCAGCATGGAGAGAGTATGGCGGCGATGAGGGTTAGGGTTAGCCGCAAGGCGGCTGTTGCTATCGGAGAAGAAGGTGGAGATTCTTGGGATCTTCATTCTTTTGTGAATTGAGAAAGAGAAAAAAAAAAGGTGGGATTCAATTGGCGATTATATGTGAAATGATTTGGGAACTCAATTGCAGTCACCGGATTATTCACCGGTAAGCTCGAAAATTTTTCTCACACACAAAGCCTGTAATTTTGCACACACGCTACCAAATCATTCAGTTATACATTCTAACATTATCTATTCATTCTTCCAAGCACACAACACTAGTGAAAAGCCATGACCTTGTTGTGAACCCATCCCATCTTTGCTCGATAACCCGGCTAACTCCCGCTTGTTCCGCGCCTTTTCCCGAGCCACATTGTTACTCCGAAACAAGAAAACCGCATTACAATCGGCCCCACCGAAAAGCCAATTATAAACATCCCAATAAACTTCGACCGAAATCCCATCGACAAAAATACTCTGATTCCCCCTAAATTTCCACACGAGTCGACTCACCTTCAAGACCGCCTTTCTATCCACGTAGATCACTAAACACTTTCCGGAATCTTCACTCGGATCGTATTCGACCCGTATATCGTGCATCTTCCCATTTTCGCAAATTTGAGCCTTTGAAGTAGAGTATAGCCTCTTCCCGAAAACGTGTTCCCTTTTCGCGACGAAATTCGCCTTCGGGATGGTTGGGGGAACTTCAGTCTTTTCGCAGGAGTCTCCTAAAAGAACACAGAGTTCTTGATTCAAGGCGATTTTTAGATAGTATCCTTCGAGTGGCTCGGGGCTTGATGAACCGAACTTGGCGGAGGATAAATCCCAATGGATGTTGACTCTTGTGGAGTTGACCGTCAAATTCCGAGCGCCTTTTTTCTTGGAAAAAAGCCATGGTTTGATGTCGATTTTGCAGAGAGGCGGCTCGTTTGCCGAGCTGCTCTCTATAATGCAGATGCTTAGTCCATATGCCATTAGATGCTTGATCCATGTGATCGTGATGAAGCCCAAAAAGCGTTGAGAAGTGTAATGATAGATACACGTGACGAGGTTTTCATGAGGAGATGGTTTGGTTGAGCTTGAACTTGATGCATATAAAGGATTATTACTAGCAATCTGCACACCACTCTCACCGAAACACGAAGGAAACTCCTTCATCGAAAAAGAAACAAAAAATCAAGATTATGAATCGTTTTTTCTCTTCTTTTTTTTTGTTCGTTCTTGAAAATGTGCTAACGATATATAATTCGGGTTGTTGTGAGACTTATGATGAAAGTATCCGGGTCGAAAGGTGACGAAAACGGATCAAGAAGACGATAAAATGATTGGATATTTGGGATTCTTTTGGGGGTTTGAAAATGAATGTGAGATGTGTTTACATATGAGATTTGAGGTGAAAAGGATGAGTTTTTTATGAAGTGCAATAGGCAAATGTAGTACTGTTAGATGTGTAATAGATTTCAGGCTCATGCCTGTTCTGAAATCTGAAGTAAGCTTAAGAGAGCTAATGTGGGATGTATAGCCTGTATTGTATATATAAGAAACTAGTGATGCTCTTACATTTTTTTTTTTTTTAATTATTTATTATTATTTATTTATTTTTGTATTATTTATTTATTTTTTATTGAAAAGAAAAGGAAAAGGAATTGATTTAGCAATGGCATGCCAGTGAATGATCACTTAAAAATCTTTTACCACAAGCCAAGCCACCCCTTTCACTGTTCTTTTTTACGTGCTTTTTGGTCATTTCTTAATCAATTCAAATAGCTATCAAATACTCCCTCCATTTTTAAATGTTTGTCGTTTTGACTTTTTTGATTCATCTATTTTGCTATGTATTTAGACAATATTATCTAGATACATAGCAAAATGGATGAATCAAAAAAGTCAAAACGACAAACATTTTAAAACGGAGGGAGTAATTAATTAGTTTAAGACAAATACAAGAGTAAAAATATACACAATTGATGTTGTTAGACTCCATAACCTTATACTTCTTTTTTTTACAAGAAGAAATTACATTCTAATAAATATGAAATGTTATACTTTTATTTATATTGTATTTTAATGCATGACATTTAAATATGAATGTAAACTTATTTAAACAAATATAACTAACTAAACATTTGTAAACTAAAATATATTGAAGAGAAATGAATAAGAATAGGTTATGGGTCATTTCTTTATACAAAATTTTAATTATGAAATTGATAGTTCAATAATAGGAGCCCACTCACTTCCCCCCACTTTTGGCTATAAGAAATAAATACTACTTTGCAAATTTTAGATATTTTTTTTGTTTTATTAATTTATATTATTGTTCACATTAATTGTGAACTATCAACTGCCCAATCCAATCTGGTAGCCATCCCTCTCTTACAGCCTTTCTGAAATGTGGATTTACACAACCAATATGTGATGTCTTTGTCATATACTTGTAAGAAGTTAAATTAATATTATATATATAATGATTATCAGAAATTTTATGGAGCCATCCATAACTTTATGTGCTGAGTATGTATTTATTGCAGGACACTTGTTAATACTATTTGTAAATAACTATGGATGACTCCATAAGCCGAGCAATCCGATGACTCCATAGCAAAACTGAGCTAATTATATATACAATAAGCTCGTTTTTAATAGTAAGAATACGAAAGCACTAGTTGATCAAACTATTCCAAGTGCAAAATTTGCAGAAATTGCATTGTGGTGAGACCAACATAATGATTGTAGTTTGTGTGGTTTGTGAATATCAAAAGAATGGCTTAAGGAGAATGAAGAAAACGAAACAAAAATCAAAGTCGAGACACGTAATAGTTACGTTCTTCTTAAGACGAAATTGCCTCGTAAAATACCCACAGTTAACGGCACACGCCTCCAAGATACAACGATTTCGACTTGTATATAGCGGTACTTCAAATATACAAGCCTTCAGCGAACACTACTATTGTTTGAAATTCTTAAGACTCAATGAAAAAATCATAGACCACAACATGCTATATGATCTTTGAAAATAATGCAAGCGCTCTTTAATTTTCATGTTTTGAATAGTTTCATGTAGGTGGGTATTTATAAATGTAGGAGAACACCTCCAAGAGGTTTAAGTGTTAATAGACACATTTTGGGATGTACCTGAATGAGAACAGATGCATCTAGTTGCCAAAAGATACCTTATGGTCACCAAGGGTTGCGACCCTTTGATTTCCCCAGCCAGTTGCGTGCCCGTGCGCCGCGGGACCGTACGAGCTCATACAGACTCGGAATCGAGTTTCGTTTTTTCCTACTTGTCCCCAACGATCCCTTCTACAATTCTAGCATACATAATGCATAATTATGGCTCGTTTAATTTGTCCAAAGTCCAAACATATAACAAAACACAATATTTTACGAATCCAATATTTAAGTTACTTAAACTCATTGCTTCAACTTTTTTTTGAGAATTTTCTAAGTCTTCCACTTACAAAAAATGGAACCGTAAATCAGTACAAAACTAATTTTTCTTAGAATGATAAATCAATCATGCATTTTCAATCCCATACTTTATATAGAGAATAATATTTACTAAAAAAGAAGACAAAAAAATCGAAAACATTTATCGCATACCTTATTTGAAAATATTTTAAATATATTTCTTAATTGTTTGCATACATACGTCTCCGAATGAGATCAAATCGAATATGATCGAAACGATTCTTTCCTTGAATAATTTATTAACATCTACAATAATTTCACTGATATTAATAAAATACAAATTGATTTTTTCGTGATTTATGGTGATAATATTTTGGTCAAAGATAAACGTGAAAATATATTTTAAAAATCTATTATAATAAACTACAAATTGATTTTTTATTTATGTTTATAATATTAATTTGGTCAAGATAAACGTGGAAATATATATTAAATTCTAATTATATTATTAATTTGCTTTCACAACTACTTAAATTTCTTCATAAAAAAATATTTTTAGAAATCGTAACAAGTTAGGTAAAATTTTTTTCTTCCAATTAATCATGCGAATTCAAGTTGGTGTATTAATCTCTTAAAATATAATTTATTCTTAAACTTTATTTTATTATATAAAATAAATCATTATATTAATATAATTTATCATTTAAGAGATAATGACCATGTACACTAAATAATTTTACTAATGAACAAATTATAAAATTAAAATATTTTAAAATTTCAACATGTGATTTATGTATACTATTGTCAACCATATTTTATTTATAATTTATTTTCATAGTGAAATAATTGTAAAATATATTCCAATGAAAAGTATGATAAACACACTATAAAGCCTTATGCAAATTAGAATAAAATATCGAAGGGGTTTATCTTTTGGAAATTGCTAAATATAAGTTATTTAATTATCACAAAAAATACATTATAAAAAATATATATGTATATTTTGTAAAATATTTATACACAATACTTTATTTTACATTTACTTATATATTTTAAAATTAGTTATCAATAAATAATATTAACGTACATTAAATATTTGTACATAACATAAAAAAAAAAGAAGACCAATTCTATGACTTTTATAAATAATAATAATGACATTAAAATGACTACAAATTTTAGAATAAAATAATAATTGACTATTATATGGTGAACAATAATAAGTAAAACTGTTTTTTTTTTCTTATATCATGAAATATACACACACATATATAATATTAAAATTAGATTACCCAAGAGCGCTTGGATGAGATGGCTTGGGTCTCTTCCAGCTTAACCAGTGGTCTCGTGTTCGAGCCCTGGGAATGCAGCAGTGTTAAAACTCTTGAGGGAGAGCTTTGTCGCCCTTGTGGTCCTACCCGGCTCGATTCCGGATTAGTCGGTTCGCCTGTGAATCCGGAAACCGGAAGGTCCCTGTACCAAAAAAAAAATATTAAAACTAGATTCGTATTAGTATAAATCTGTTAGCGAGATAATATATTAATTAACTTACATGTTATCGCTAATAAACAGTTCAAACTACAAAAAACAACAATGATTAAAACACATGAAAAATAGATGATCCAATCTATTTTTTGTTGGGGCATGAAAAAAA